TCAGTGGGCCTGGCTCAATTCAGTTCGATTTAAAAAGAAGAACCAGAACCAGTAAGCACTTTCTGATACACGGTTCAGTAGCACCATGGTTAATGGACAGGCAGTTCATTTAATGGAAGTACTGAACTGGTCTCTGCGTTAGCAAGGTGGAGGAATTGATCTATTGAGCGAAGTCTGTCAGATTTCAGTCGGATAAGTAGCAATATTCCCTGTTTCAGCTCATTAGTTCCAGGTTTTTTCAGTTCACATAATATGTCACTGACCAGAAGAATTGGAAAACAATTTAGCTGGTGGCAAATTGGTGCTGTGTCGGGCGGTCAGTTGCACATTTGTCTCCAAAGATTTCAGAAATCTTTACTCTGGTTCATCGTGCTGAGTTGTAGTTAGAAGTCCACATTTTCATACAGGTGTTTTTTTTTTGTTGGCTTTGTGCTCAAAGACTTTTGTGGAGAGCTGTGGAGTTTCACCCCATACCTCCCTATCTTTTTAGGTATTATTTAGAGAGGATGACCACTGCCAGCATTTATATACTGTATATCTATGAATAAATGAATGGAAATGAAATTATTTCAGACAATTTCAAGACATTTTGACAAACAACAATAAATAAATCAACCAAATACACACAGAAAGAGACTAAATAAAATTCATGAGCATAAATAGAAGCAAAACCCTATTTTGATAGAGCTGTATGACCACTAAATGTTTATGGGCTCAAAAGGAGATTTTAGATTAGGCCCCATGTAGGTTAATTAATTAAATCCTTGTAGGGATGTGATGATAAATCCAATGAGATGAGACTTTTTTTATTTTATGTTTTCAGAAAAAGAACCAAAGTTTTAATAAACTGTGTTTTCGATCATCTTTACATAATATTGCGATCAATGGCATTTTGAGTCTATTTTTTTTTATGTGTGTTTATCTCTTAAGTGGTCCAAAGGCCAAAAAACGGGCAAAAAAAATACGGCAAAGGTCACTGTGCCAGGACTCATTTTGGCCACGTCCACGATCATATATACATGGGGGCGCATGGATAACCCTTGCACCACTACTGCACCCTGTTTTGCAACTTTTCAGTCACTGGTCTCAAAATTTATAATATTTAACTTTTAAAACTTAGCATTCAACCATGTTTGTCAATTGAAACTGGGTCATGGTCTCCCATGATACACTTCTGTGAGATATTTTGATGATTG